TTAACTTTTAATTATTGATTTATGTGATCTAATTAGTTTAACTAATTAAAAAGTTGATCTAATTGAATTATTAATTATTATAAAAATATAATAAATATATAATTATACAATTTTAAATGACTTATTCTGATTCAGTGGTATGAACTTTGAGTACTCTAAGTTAAAATTGTTCACTTTCTATGAGTGATATATTTGAACCATATAAATTTCATTTTCTTTTCTCCCACTTAACTAATATATATAACTAATTTTAATATGATAAAAAAAATTATGCACAACTTTAGTCATAAAATTTAAAATGTTTCTGTTGGTAAAAAATTTTTTAAACAAGTGTAAAGATATAGTTTTAAATCTATGCTTAACAATTTTATTATTTTTTATTCAGAATATAATAAATATATTTATCTGATCATCTGAGACCACAAGCCTCTTCAAGCCCGAGCAAAGCCACCATCTTCCTCTCGACAATCTGGCACATCGACAAATACATAGTTTTCCTTTGCTGCAATTCTATTTTGGAATGCCTTCCACTCAAAAGCTGCAACTTTTAAAGGAATCTTAAAATTTTTTAGGACTGCCTGTAGACTGCTCCAATGATAGCACTTTATATGTTGCGTTTTATATGCCCCATATCCATCTCTCTTCTTGTCCCTGTTGGAATTTTGCCCCACAAAATTCTGCTTCATGTTCCTGGAAAAGCTCCTGTTCCCTCACAAACAACTCTCGCCGCCATTCCCATTCAACTCCATTCTAAACTCCTTTATTACAAATTAACACGTGCTTGTCGCCAGCTAATTGATAATTTTAATTTAATAAAAGAGATTGATTATACTAATTCAAAATATTAAGATATGTGTGAAACTCAATCATTGTGATAATTTGTGTGGACTTAAAATATTTAATGGAAAATAATGTGGAGATGACTAATATAAATCTAAAGTCAATTGGTTCTTAATAAAAAAAATTACTATTAAATTTTTAATATAAATTAAATTCTAAGTCTCCTTTTTACACCATTTATTTGGTACAACCTAATAATATTGAGAGCCGTAATTCGTGTGATACTGATGCAAGAAAAGGAAAATCTTAGTAAATCCCTATCAAGCCTAGTACTAACCTTGTAGGAGGTTATTCCTAAGAAGTGGGTTTTTTTTTTTTTTTTTTTGGTAAAGATAATCGTTAAAAAGTTAGTATGAATTAGTTGTTAGTAACTAAAAATTTAATTCTTAAATCAAATAAATATTTCACCCTCTCAAATGAGACGCGCGGCCATCAAATCAATTTTAATAGAGTTCACGACGATGATAAAATTTGAAACTCCAATTACCTCATTTAAATACTTAAATCTTGAGTTCGAATCATTAAATTTAAAGACTCGATTAGTGAGCTTTTAGCATCTCTCCTCTACGACAAGCCGAGTACTAAAAAATGTACCCTACTCTGCGTTGGGGTTTCAAGCCCCCACCGTTATCACTAGTGCTACGCTAAAGTAAGCAACCAAAACTTTTTGAGGCTCTCGAGTTTAAACATTAAGACTTAATTACTCTTAATATTAACTTTTTATAAAAGGTTTTTAAGTATTATTTAATAAAAAAAAGTACTACCTCCAATAGAAAAAGCCTTAAAAATTCGTATTTGAACTTTATGATCAATAACTGTAAATTATATTGAAATTACATTTCCTAACCTAAAAGTTAGAATTTGAATCCTCACCCCCAATATAATCCATAAAAAAAAAAACCCTAAAAACCCGGTAGCTCCTTCTAGGGGAACTTGTCTTCCGAGAAAGCCAAAGTTACCAAGCACAAGCTAAGAAGAAACCCAAAGTTACCAAGCACAAGCTAAGAAGAAACCCAAAACTGTTTGTTAACCAACCAAACACGCCCCTAAGCGTCATAATCACAGATCTTTTGTCTAACTAAGTGACTTGTTTGATTAAAAATCTAATTTTATTAAAAAAAATTTATTGAAAAAATAGGAAAGAAAATATTATATGGAAAATTAATAAATATTACATAAAAATTTGATAAATTTTGTGGTAAAATTTTGCTAAGTTAATTTTTTTATATTTCAAAAGAAATTATTATAAAAAAATTAGTAAAAAAATTATAAAATAAATTCCATACAAAAAAGTTGAGAAAAACCTTTTTAGTTTAGAAAGAAAAACTTACAAATTAAAAATTATGTCAGGGAGAATAATGATTAAAAATATCACTTTTAGTTATATTTTATTGTAATATTAATTTGTAAAAATACTAATTAACCTTACAATTAACCTTACAAATAACCTTATAAAAGAGAAAATTTTAAAAAATTTAGAGAGAAAATTTTTGTTAGATAGATATTTAATAATCCATCACATGTTTTAATATCATATATACTCTAATTAAAAATTAATCTAAAATTGCATAAATACGTAAAAGTAATTTTTTATTTTATTTTTACCCTAACTCAACATTTGGTATAGTGAAAAAAAACATTTAGTAAATTATCATATATTTTAATATTATATTATAATAAAAATTTTAATTTAATAATTATATAAATAGTGACATTTTTTTTGACAATGTAATGATTAAAAAGTTAGTTTGAATTAATTGTTAGCAACTGAGATTTAATACCCAGACCGGATGAACATTTCACCCCTTCAAATAAGACGCACGACCATTGGATCGTTTTTTTGGTGGAGTTCACGACGGTGGTAGAGTTCGAAACTCTGACCATCTCACTCAAACACTTAAAGATTGGGGTAAAAGAATTGGGTTTATATATCCGATTCAAATTGTGACATATTTTTTTTTTGGTTTCCCATCCGGTATCCGGGGCTTCGCCCCGACTACTCCAGATTCGACCAGCTGTGGCGCACCAGAATGGTGGGTGGGTCTCCCAATGAAGGCTGCTGCGTACAAAATTGTGACATATTTAACCACCATTACCAGACGGATTCTTACTTTTTACCATATCTTCCAAGGAACCTTAACTTCAGCTTACCAAACAGCCCCTAGAAAAAAGGATACTTTTCTTCATCTCTTTCTTTCGAGGAAACCATGCTACACGCCACCCACACGTTATACTAATCAAATACTTTTCTTCTGACTACATAGTACAGACGCTGGAAGTCGTCGTCGTCGTCGTCGTCCTCCGTCTACAGGAGTAGCGAAAGAGATTTTACTCGTCCACAGGCAGTCCGTTGCCGGCACGTTGCATTTTGCAGTGATCTAAGTGTTGCTGTTCTCAGTCTACAGAAGGTACGTTTACAAATTCCTTCTGTGCATGTGATAGTTTCTCACTCATCTTTTTGTTTGGTTGCAAAGAAAATTCAAGGACAATTTATCTGGGGTTTTCTCTGTGTTCTAGATTGGCTAGATTGGTGATGAGTGTTTGGGGGAGAGCCAAATCTTGTCCTAGATTTTGTTTCTTACAAATGGGTTTTGGTTGGTTGACCTGGGTTGACTTAGTTTGATTTGAGTTAAGCTGGTAGTAACTTGTAGTTAGAGGTTTTCCTTTTCCTTTCCGAGAATTTGTTCATGGGGTTGCTTACCAAATCTTCAAGTTTGAAAGATTCCTTCTTGGCAATGAATGATTTTTGGTATTTTTTCTCCTTTCTGTGTTTCTTCGTTTGAAAAGAGCTATTTTTGTTGGTAAGATATACATCTGATTTGGTGTTTGTGCGGTTGATGTTCGAGCCTTTGGGGTTTTGTGTTCTTTCTTCACTTCATAATGTACGTTGCATTTTGAATTTTGGTTTCCTCTTGTGCTTGGGTTTTTATTTATGCTTTCTGTTTCATTTAGCTGATCGACATGAAATCATGACACGTAGTCTTCTTGTCTTCTTGACCATGCTTCAATGCTTAGTTTTTATTATTTGAATCTCATTAATTACAGGTTAGAAGCTCAGTAAGCTTTGTACATAAGCTTCTGTGAAATTATTTGTTATCTGGACTCTGTTTCCATTTCAGTATGCTTTTTGCTTTTCTGGTTCAACACCTTCCTTAATGAACTGTTCGAGATTTTGTGAAATCCTAACACAGCATTGTTTTTTAAGTATCTGTCGGTGAAATGCAGTTTGTGGATGGTAGTGTCATTGTCTGATTTGGATAGTTACTTCCCTGCTTTGTTTTGCTAGTCTATTTCCTAGTTTAGGCTTTTATCTGATCATATTTGCTTTGCCCTGATATTAGACCACTGACTGTTAAGCATAAGAGTCTGTTATGGAGATCGAAGTAGGTATTTTTTCTAAGGATGATTCTTTTGTGATTAATAATTTTATTGTAATGAATGATACAAATGGAAAGAAATTTAGATTTATAAGTTACAGTGTGGATCATTCTCTGTTAGTGGGAAGTTTTGAGTGGTCAGATATGCTTTAGGGTGAGTTTTTAAAGTGGTGCTATCTGCAAATGGGGTGTAGCTTAGGAGCATAGATATCAAAACCACTATGAGTAACTGCAAGAGATGATCCTTATTGAATTCTGAACTTAAGGCAAATTAAGGGAAGTATGAAGTTTTTGCATGTCTAATTTGAAGCAGTAGTTCTAGACAAAATGTTTCCTGATTTGATATAAATCACCTTTCATTTGTAAGATATTAGGTTTAATGTCAGTTGAATGGAGGATTTCTGATTCTAAGGGTCATGATGCTATACATTAAAGGTCTGTGAAATATTCATGTCAATTGTCAAGTGACTAAACAAAAGAGATAGCAGAATTAATTTTTCCCATAATTCCTTCAATCTCCATGCTCATACCAGCTCTTGGGTTTCTCATGCATGTATTTATGACCTGTTTAATTTAGCATATTCACCAAAAATTGATGAGAGCTTTCTTGTCCATGCTTGAATGTTCAGTTTTTCATATTTGAAGTTCAGAAATTGCAGTTTAGAAGCTTAGTAAGTTTTAGAATAAGCTTCCATGAAATTATTTGTTTTCTGGATTGTTCTCTAGTTTTTACCTCACGTTTGATTACCTTGTTGAAAACACCTTGATGAAGTTTGAAGGTTTTGCAAAATCCTAAATATGGACTTATAGATTTCATAAGGATAAATGTTTTAATTACTTTTCAGTGAAATGCAATGTTGATGTCGGTGTTATTGAAAATTTTGGAGGGTTCTTTCTTTCTTCTTTTTTTTTCATTTTTTTTTTTTTTTATTTTTTTTTTTTCCGTTTTTTCCAGCTTTGTTCTGTTATTATTATTCCTAGTCTATGCTTTTATCTGATCATATGAGTTGTGTCTGTGAAACTGGACCACTGAAATTTAAGCACAAGAATTTGTATAGTGATGTTTGAAATAAATATGGATTAAGGATAATTCTATTGTAATTGATGACACTTAGGTGAATAGCTTTGTAGGATGCAATCTGGTTAACTGTCAGTTGGTAAAAAGTGTTTAGAGGTCAGATATATTTGAGAATTGAGGTTTTACAGATGAGCCATCTCCAAATAGGATATGGTTTAAGAGCAGAGAGATACCTAACTTGACATGAGCATCTGCAAGACATTATCCTTTGTGAATTCTGAACATAATGCTAATTCAGGAAATTTGATGTTATGCACGTCTAATAAATGTTTCCTGATATGATACAAAACTTCTTTTCTTTTGAAAAAAAGAATAAAATGAGAAGATATGCATGAGGTTCAATGTGAGTTGAGTGAATGATAATGGATTTTGATGGTCATGATGAATAGGTAAATGGCTAAACAGACATTAAAGATTTCTGGACGGTTTCCTGAGTTTGGTGCTATTTTCATGTCAAATGGCTCTACATGGGAAGAGTGCTTGAAGAGGAAGCTGTTTGGACTTCCGTTTTCTCATGCAGAGTTTGTTAAAAGAGTTAAGGTTGGAATGATCTTGTTTCTCTTTGAGTATGAGAAGAGAGAACTTTTTGGGGTTTTCAAAGCAGCTTCGGATGGTGACATAAATATTGTCTCAAAAGCATATGATTCATCAGGGAGGCTCTTTCCTGCTCAGGTATTCATAATAAGTCTATGTGAAACTGTATCAGTTTTTGTGCTTTATCATTGCTTTGCTTTTACTTTTTTCACTAGGATACCTGCTTTTTCAAACTTTGCTATCTTCTCTTAGGGATTATGTTCAGGTTGACAGTTGAGAGTGGCATTATTGTCCTAACCCAGTTTGCTTTTCATTGGCATAGGTTAGGGTTACCAGAATCTCGAATTGCTATCCTCTTCCTGAAAATGAATTTCGCCATGCTATTAGAGGAAACTATTTTGCTGAAAACAAGTTCAACTTTGGGCTATCTCGTGATCAGGTTTAATCCTTTTCTCCTTTCAAGTTGAATCCTTTTGTTGCTTTCTTCTCAAAGATTTATTATATTTTATCACGATAAAAAGAGTATTTCATTAAGGTGGTCTAATTTCAGGTAAATGAGCTTTTACGCTTGTTTGACTCAAGAAAGTTAAGACCTCTAGGACCTCAAAGCTGTATCAGAAATGAAGCTGGAGAAAGAGGTTGCATGTCTTCAATTACAAAAGCAAAAGTGGGGAAACATGGTCGTCATTATACTGAGAAAGCCAGGAAGAAACAGAAGATGGATGTGGATGTTATATCTGAGTCTAATCTACATTCCTTCGCACATTCTGATAGATTTTTTGTGGCAGATGATTCTCGGCGCTCAGCTTCCAGGAATTCAATTTACTCACGGAAGGTATCTAAGAACATATGCTATCAGCGTGCACGTCGTGAGGCTTGTTTCCAATCTTCAATAGCTTATGTCTCCACTGCTTCAAGACATGGATTGGGCCATCACTATGACACAACACGAAAACAACGGGTTAATTCTGGAAAAAAGCACAAGGAACTAGACATTTCTTCTAAAAGGTTGGATGGTGACATAGGAGATTTCATAGCTTTATCACCCTCATCGGATGATCATGACACAGAAGATTTCGTACCTCTGTTGTCCCCTCGTGATCTTGATCCTAGAGAATTCAATTCCAAAGCACGAGGTAAGGAGTATAACAATAAAGCAGATGAAGCAGTGCTCAGAGTTAGATCAAAGAAAGACTTCATTACTGAAGCTGATAAATCAACTAAAGAGATCATGGAAGAATCGCAGCGAAGGCATGGAAATGGTGATAAAAAATGGAGAACAGCGAGATGTTTTCAAAAGAAAAATACGCAAACAGCAAGGGAGAGGACAAGTGTATTTCTACGCTTGAATCGAATTTGAAGATCTCATGTGCAAGACAATGAAATTGCTATTAGTTTTCAACTAGGAGATAGCGAGCAAGGGAGATGAAAATAACTGAAGTCACTGTTTAAGGAAGAAAGTCTGTTGTGTGGCACATTACTATTAAGTATTGTAGCGTATTTCAAAAACAACAATCCTTTCTGCTGTAGAAATTCTGTTCTATGAGATATCATGTTTTTGGTTTGACACAGACAGCCAAATCTTCAACAGTGGAGCGAGGTGAGGGATTTTAGCATCAATCAAGGTGAGTTGGATAAATGATGGGGTAATCTTCTATATATAGTTTTTAGTGTTGTGGACTATGATAGTTCAGGATTTTGTTGAAATAGTTGAGTTGGAGTATCCTAAGATAAAAAAAGAAGAAGCAACAATCGAATTCCCAAGAGTTTTTAAAGTTCCTAAAGTTCCTCTTTTCTCTAGTCATCTAGGGCACTACACAATTGAACACATTGGTTGCTTTACTATCTACCATAGGGATGCATCTAGGGAAGATAATTTGAAGCTCAGGCTGTTTCCTACCTCTTTAAGATGAACAACCCTCACATGGTACCTCAATCTATCCAAAACTCAGTCAAGCTTTTGGATGAGTTTGATTATGCACCTCTTAGACATGTTCCCCAACATTAGAATTACAAGGCTGATGATATGGCCAAAATTGCCCTAGGTGTATAAATATCTGAAGGTGTGATGCAAAGAGTCTTGATTGCTGAACAGCAAAATCTGCCGTCCATCCATCAACATGGCATGTTGATGTCAGCAAACACTATCAATGTCATACAAACTAATTGGCATTGCCCTATTGTTGAATATCTTAAAAGACCAAAACACCAAGATTTCCAAGAAGACTAAAAGGCATACTCTTAATAATGTCTTGATTAAGGGAGTTCTTTATCATAGGGGACATGATGAACTTCTTTCATGTTCCTTGGCTTTGATGAGTATTTGCATGTGATGTTTGTTGTGTACAATGGAATTTGTGGCAGACATCAAGTAGGGATTAAATTAAAATAAGTTAGTTGATCCACAAACATGGCTTTTTCGATAATCAATCTTCAAGGATTGCCTTAGCTACACCAAGAGCTGTAAGTCTTGCCAAGTGCATAGACCACTTAAAAAAATTATAGCCTCAAAATTCAATTGAGTTATGAATCCTCGGCCATATTGAAGCTGGGCTGTAAACTTATCGGTAAGGTGTATCCTCCTTCAACTAAGGGTCACTTTTTTTATCATTGTTGCTCCAGACTACTCTGTCCAGCAGCTTGAGGCTATGCCTTTGAAGAAGTGAGAATAGACTGATATCATTA